CGATCTGGTGTTTTTCTTGTGGTTCAGTTGGCGTTATGGGTTTGGTGAGGAAGATCGCAGAGCTGAAGTGCCTTCTCACCGTGTCACATCCAGGGGCACGTGCTGTCAACAAGATGTATCACTGATAGTGTTGACCTTGACCACCTGACTGAGGGAGTGTTTGCCAGGTTTTTCCTGAGCACTTTTCCTCCTTTCTACTCTTTGGAAGCAAATTGCCACGTGCAGCCCCGTCAAGGGGAGGGCCAGCTCAGCTCGAGCTCCCGGAGGGGCGTGATACATATAGAAGCCAGTGGGAAATCTTCTGTACCATGTGGGATTATTTTGAGATTTGTGTCTCTCTTGTGTCTGCTTGTCTTTCCATCTAGCAGTTTTCACTTTTTTTCTTTTCTTGAGATCATTGTATTTCATTGTCTAAACAACTTGAGTTAAGTCTTGGCTCCACTCATTTAACTCTCTGCTTGACCTTGAGTGACTCGCTGTCAAATAGGGTGATGATGAGAACAATCTAGCATGTGTCAGTCAGGCTGTGTTCAGCTGCATAACAGAAGCCTGAGCAAAGTGGTTTAACCAAAATAGGATTTGTGTTTTTGCCTCATGTGACAAGAAGTCCTGAGTGGCCAGTGATGCTGATGGGGCTTCTCAAGGAAGCTACTGGGGATCCAGGCTCTTCCCGGCTGCTGGACTGCCCTTAGCATGTGTCTCTTATCCTCATGGTCCCAAAGTGGCTGCAGCACCTCCAGCATCACTGTTGTGCTCCAGACGGGACTCTGTGAAATTGACAGCATTACCCCCATTTTACCAGAGGAAAGTGAGGCTCAAGGGGAGGAAGAAGCCTTACCTTAAAGAGGGCTGTCAGTGGCACAGATAATGTGTGTAGCCTGGGGCACAGTAGGTATAAAGATTGTTTTCTCAGTGAGAGAACCTCTCCCGAGGTCCTTGGGGCTGGGAGGGCCTGGCCCCGAGTCCTACAGCCCGTGTCTGGTGCCTCAGTCCCCACTGAATGGGAGATACAGGGAAGGATTTGTTGTCCTGATCCACTGATTCGGGGGCAAACCATGGCTGGGGGTCCACATCTGGCCTGCCTCCATTTTTGCAAATAAAGTTTTATTGGCACGCAGCCATGCTGTTAGTTTACCCATTCTCTGCGGCGGCCGCTGTGCTATGAGGGCAGAGTTGAGCAGTTGCAACAGAGATTGCGTGGCTTGCAAAGCCTAAAATATTTTCTGTCTGGCCCTTCACAGAGCAAGTCTGCAGACCCTGGCCTGAGCAGAAAGCAGACCAGGATGAGGAATGTTCAGTCAGGGCTTCCCGAGAGGGAGATACAAGGCGGGCCAGGACTTCCAAGGGCCTGTGGAGATTTCTGGAAACAAGGGAGAAGGTGGTACAGGGCAAGTCAAGGCCCTGAGGTGGGAGAGCTTAGCTTTAGAAGACAGTGATCTGCCTTGGACCCAGTGCTGCAACAGCCACTGGGATGGGGGTGGGGGGTTGTTAGAAAAGCGGCCTGATGGCGGACCGCCGGAGTGGCCAGCTTTGGGGTTTCTGCCGGAAGCTGCAAGATATAGAAATGGTGAAGTGGCCAGGAGCCATCTGGGGCCCAGGGAAGTATACCCCCCGCTCCTCTGTCCAGCCACCCCGTTCAGCCACCCCGAGCCACGACGAGCTGCGGGCCCAGAGCTGCCAGATCATCTGATTTTCCAGGAGAAGTTGGCCGTCTGGTTTTCATGAGAAATCTCCTGATTTGTTACATGTTTGCAATTAATTCCATTTTTTTTTTTTCAAATCATGAAGCAGACCAAGCACACATCCGTCTGGTGTGTGGGCCCCAGGTTTGAGAATTTGGGTGTCCAGGGTAGAAGCAAGGATGCAGGAATGTGGGCAGACTGTGGAGAGCAGGCCAGGCCCAGGGCCTTAGGCCAGCACGCTCTGGGCTCCTCCGAGCTCCCGGTGGGGGGTGGGGGGACACTCCGAGAGAGGCGGCGGGGGTGGGGCAGAGTCTTGGAGCTGCAGTGTCAGATTTCGGCATCTCCCCGCCCGTCCCAGGCTGGTGGAACATTCCTGCTGCGAGCTGGGGAGCCGAGAGGTGGACACTCCTCCTTGCTCACCTGAAAGCCATAGAAGGAGGGGTGGGAGGTGGAGAGCTCTGAGGACTGAGATTCTCAAGGGTTTGGGTTTGCTGCTGTCCCCGAAGACTTGGGTTGTTTCTGGTGACGGGCAAAGGCTGGGCTTAGAACTAGACAGACTTAGTGGACCCCGGCTCCCGGGTCCCACCTGCGCCATTGGGTGGGCACAGGCACAAGTGATCTGTAGATCAAGAGGCTGATACCAGTGGGCAGTAGAGATTAGAGGGGCCCGTGCCCGCTCCATGCCCACACGCTCTCCGAGAGTTGTGCCCTGAGCCACGCTGGGCCCCCAGCTCATCATAGGCTGACTTCAGGCTCAGTTCTGCAAGCGGCGATGCGTCACCACCCTGCACTTCCCCATGTGCCCCGAGAGCTTGGCAGGGGGTTGGTCCAGGGCTGCTGGGAGGCTCTTACGATGCCTTCTCCTTGATCCTGTCTTAATTATATTGATTTTCTTCCCGCTTTGGAAGTCTCTTTCCTCGGAGGAGGAGACAGAAGCCCCGTCTCTCACACCCATTCAGAACCTCCACCCCACCCCCACCCCGGCCTTTGAACAGGACTATTCAAAGAGAATAGGGGGTCAGGATAAAGCCACGTGCCTGGGCCAGGACACTAGCTCTGGCTTGGCCACTCACCCTTCATGGCCCTTCCCTTGCCTGGGACCTGAGGGTCAGGAGAAGGGACCTGTCTTTTCATGATCACAAAATGCTCTTTGGCCCCCATGTGTCAGGCGAGGGAGCGAGTCTTCGAGCTTTCATTGTTTGCTCATTTCCCAGATACTACAATGGCCAGTTCTCAGGAGAAATGGGGTGAAGAGACTCTAAGCCTGGGGGCTAGCCACGGATTGCATCCCTCAGGCTGTGACGTGTATCTTGGGGTCCATTTCCTGGCTGCGCTCTGGTCATGGAGCTCTCAGAGGACTTGCATCCTGTCCAGGGGTGCAGGGGACAGCCCAGGAAGGTGCTAGAGAAAGGAGCCAGGAGGTAGGCCTGGGCCCCAAGTACCCCCAAGGAGGCCGAGCCAAGGGTGGCGGACCCAGGGCGGATGGACAGAGTGTTCCTTTGCCCTTCTGTGCGGCTGGCCCTTGGCCAAGGTGAACTAAGTTATTCTCGTTTTCCCGGCAGGGGTGATGGCACAGGGCGGGAAGTAAGACACCTGAGCACGTGCGGTCTTATTTGAAATAAGTTGATGGTTTCCTTCTGCAGAGAAAGAGGGTTTGGTGTGGGGGAAAGTTCAGGGCTTTGGGGCTCGGACATTAGAATCTGTCCACTCCCGCCCTAAGCCTAGCTGCTCACCTTTAGGGGACACTGGCCACAGCCTCCTCCCTGATCCCCTCTTTCCCCTCATTTCTGCTCTTTCTGAAACACCTACCGAATCACACACACATTCCCGATTAGTGACTTCAGTGGCTCTCTGGTCTCTTGGGATGAAGTTCTTAGCGTGGCTTCCAAGGGCCCATCTCTGTCCACACCCTGTGGCCCCCTTCCACGCTGAGCCACTGGAGTCCCCAAGTCCGTGCCCACCCCCACCCTGCACACAGTGTGTGAGTGCCCTTCCCACCCTGCCTGCTCAGGGCTGGGGGCCCTGGATGGCTCAAGCCTCTGGAGACCCCCCTGAGCCCCACCCCCGAGGAGGAGTTGGGCCACCCCTGGGTTCTACAGGTCCCTGTGCCTGCCCACCGTTAGCCATCCCGTGGCAGTGGCATTCCGTGGGTGCCGGGTAGGCCGGGCAGTGCAGGCGCTCAGGACATGGTGGTGGAGTTGGGCGGACGCATGGAGGACGTGGGACGTGGGTAAGCCCCCCCCTCCCCGCCCCAGCCTTGGTTTCCCCGCCTCCACGACGGGGATGGTGGTCAGGGCGTCTCTGTGGGAACAAGTGTGCACAGAGGCGGCGTATGCACCAGCCTGGCACGGGGCACGCGCAGGCCGCCCGCTCTGGGAGCGCGGTTGCTGGCGGGCAGCCAGAGCCCCCACCCCCCGGCGCGGCACCTGCACGCCGTCCCAGCCGTGTCTCAGCTGGGGGCGGATGTGGGGGGAAACGGGGACCCCAGATGCAGGCATTCGGAAGGATCTGCTCCGCCCTCTGCACCCCCGAGCCCCACTACCGGCCTGTCTGCCAGCAGAGCCCGACCCCCCTCCTCCCTAGGGGTCGCAGGCATTGGGATCGTCCGGCTCTGCAGGTCCACACCCCGGACCAGAGTCCTCAGATTCAGGGCCGGGGGTGGGGGGGAGGGGAGGCGGCCCAAGCAGAAGCTCCCCCAGGGGGTTCGGCCTGCGGCCACGTTTGAGAAGCGCTGTTTGACTCGGTCCGGTCCTCGGTGAATCTGGTTTCTCCCTGAGAAAGGGTCTCACCAACCAGTGCTTGGGGAGGGCTGCTTGGCGGAAGTGTCTCCTCCCCACCCTTCTCAGCAAAACTCCGCACCAGAAATAAGCGAGCACTTCTTAAAATGGTTTTTTTTTTGAAAACTAACACATTCATATGGCACCAGCTTGAGGCGGCACAGATGGGGACCCCAGCGAGAATGCTCACCCCCAACCCCCCCCCGGCGTTGCCCAGCAGCAGGTCCGGGGCTGGGCCTGGGCGGGGGGGGGGGGGGGGGGCTCTGAGCACCTGTGCGCATGCGCAGTCGCGTGGAGGCCCCTCCCCCACCTCGCACGAGGGACACATGCCTTCTCGGTTATTCTCTGTCACAGCCTGGCCCTGCCTGTCCGTGTGGGTGGCGTTGGCTCTCGCGGGCACTGCCGCCCAAGAATCCTGGGGTCCTTGTCCCTTCGGGCCACGTCCCTGCAGGATGCGTCCAGTCCCCCAACTGGACTTCCCAGGTCCCAGAACCCGGGAACTGAAATGGCTCACGGGGCACCCCGTTTTCTGTCGTTCCAGAAGCCGTCCACGCCGGCGCCCCTGCCGTTCCAGCTGCCCGCGCTGTACCGGACGGAGGACTACTTCCCCGGGGCCGCGGGGGCCGCGCCCAGGACCCCCAGCCGCCGCCGGCGCCGGCGCGTGTGAGCTGTGCCGCCGGGTCGTCGGGAAGTGACCGTGCGCGCGCAGCGGCTCGGGGGTCTGGTCTCCTCGCTGTGCATTTGTGTTTTGCGTTTCCTCTCTTGCTTCATGTGAAACGGCGGGGTTTGGAGAAGCATCTGGAGCCCACGCGTGCAGCGCCGAGTCAGAGAGACGGTTCCCACCAGCGTCGGGCCCGCCTGGTGTCCTGGGGCCGGGCGCGCGGGTCTCAGCGAGATCGTCTCTCTGTGCCGGGCTTTGCGTGGAAATCATGGGGGGGTTGGGGGGCGGCGCTCGGGCACCGGGGTGCATGGCTCCAGGTCCATCTCTGCGGCTGGTTTGGCCGCCAAGCGCAGTGCCCACTGGCCTGTGAATCATCTCAATAAAGGTGTCAAGAGCTCATGTGTGGTCCGGGTGCAGATGTCCTCTGGAAGGGAGCTCCTGCCACCAGGCAAGCCTGCACCTCCCACTCTGCTCATTAGGGAGCACCTCGCCTGAGGGGAGGGGGCGCCTCTGGCCTTCAGAGTCCCAGCAAGAAGGGAGAGGTCATGGGGCGCCTGGGTGGCTCAGTCGGTGAAGCGAGGGACTCTTGATTTCGGCTCAGGTCTTGTTCGTGAGATCAAACCCCACATCCGGCTCTTTGCTGATTGAGGAGTCTGCTTGGGATTCTCTCTCTCCCTCCGTCTGCCCACCCCTTGCTCCTGCTCCCTTTCTCTCTCTCTCTTACTCAAAATAAACTTAAAAGCAAAAAAAAAAAAAAATGCAGAGGTCATAAGGATTTCCTGGGGTCTTCAAAGGTAGGTTTGCCTTAATCTCTTCTCATGCGATTGAAGTTCCTGCTTTGTCCTGAAATTCCCGATTTCTGTTTGGTGATGGAGAATTCTGGTTTTTCTGGAATTCCTCACAGAGCCAAAAAAACACATACACACGCCTAACTGAACAGCATACGGGCATTAGAATTTCAAGGAAACGTAACCTAATGAATCAGGAGACTGAGCAGTAGAAAAGCAAGGGAAAAGCTGCATCTTGACAATTTTAGGACAGTTTCTTGGAAATAAAGCTACAGACAGACACCTTATTTCAAGAAGAGCCAGCGTTTTTTCGTTTTCTTTCTTTCCTTTTCTTTTTTAATATTTGTTTGTTTTTGAGAGAGAGCATAAGCAGGGGTGGGGGCAGAGACAGGATCCAAAGCAGGCTGTGCGCTGACAGCAGAGAGCCCAATGTGGGTCTCGAACTCATGAACCCTGACCTGAGCCGAAGCCAGAAGCTCAACGGACTAAGCTGTCCAGGTGCCCCAAGAAAAGCCAGCATTTGTCCATGGAAGTTACTTTTTTTTTTTTTTTTAGTGAAAACTTCTATGTCTTATTTTAAATTACCGAGGTATAGTTTGTACACAGAAAGATTCGCCTAGGTGTAAGGTCCACTGAATTTTCACAAACCCCACCCCGGGCTAACGGCATCCTGACACCTGTCAGTGTAGACGGGTGCTGCTGGCGTCTGCACTTCCTGTGGCCGGAGGGCGAGTGGATGGTGTTGTCCATGGCTCCGTGGCTGAGACGTAGCTGCAGACAGGTCGCTCCCGTGGCTGTTACTGAACGGCACTGTTTTTAGCGAAGCCCAGATGCTCAGTGTGCCCCACTGTGTCTGCTCAGGGAGAGCAGAGATTCGACGGGAAGTTAATTTTTCAGGCAAGGGGCGAGGACACCGATTTCCAGCAGCCCGAGCAGACGTTGATTGCTGGGGACGCCCAGGCTGCTTTTCCCTTTCAGAGCCTGGAGCAGGGGCCAGAGAGAGGTGACGGGGATGTCATGTGATCAAGCCACAGCATCTTGAGTGTCCTAAAATAGAGACCCACAGGACTGTGGCCAGGAGCTTATAGGCTCTGAGGTCAGCCTGCCTGGGTGGCACCATCATCTCCTGCACACCTCAGCTGTGTGGCCCTCGGTTCGTTGCTCACCCTCTCTGAGCTCAGCTTCCTCCTCCCCAAGAATGCGGAGAATGAGGGCACCTGCCCACTGGGTGTTGAGGAGGATGAAAAGAAGTGTGCGAGCGCTTGACTCAGGGCCGGCCACGAGCACCGTAATGGGTGACGGTGTTGTGGTGATTGGCGCCGTGGGGAAATGGCTGACTGTGTGTTCCTTCTCAGCAGATCACTGGCATCCAGGAGCATCCACAGCCAGTGCCTCAGGGACTGCCCTTAAATTGCAGAGTAAGGACTGGCCGTGGAAGAGTGGGAGCTGCCTCAAGCCCAGCTAGGCCTCTCTGCGTTTTGCTGTCCTGGCTTCTTTTAGGGACGCCCCCTTTTCCCCCAAGTCAGCGAGGAAGGGAGAGGTTGCAGGAGAGCATCTGTGAAGGAAGCTGACTAATGACCCAGGATTGGCCAGTCCGAGTTTTCTGGGAGTTGTAGTGCCAAACCTGCAAATTTAGGGACACTTGGGGATACCTCGGGGGAGGGAAAGCCAGGACACAGAGCCTGCCAGCGATTCTGACCTCAGTGCTTTGAGCTGCTGGAGGCAGTGTCCTTGTGAGAGGTGACCCGATGTCTTGCACGTACAGGAAGGCCTCGACGACCGGCTTGAGGAGGCTCCACGGGCCTTGCAAAGGTCATTTTGCAGCCTGGGAAGGGGTTCTCCTGTGGGCCACTAGTTGGAAAGGCACTGCAGGTCTTCATAGGAGCAAGGCTCTTTGTTCAGCCGCCTCCCCACTTTCCCAGTCGGTGTGAACCTCGTGTCTATCAAAGCAAGAGATTTCAAGAAGGTGGCTTACGGGTTGGCAGAAATGTGTGGTTTGCCCTGAACTGTTTAAAAATGTTTTCATGTTGACACAACTGGGTAACCATCTGGAAAAAATAAAGTGAGTTCCATACCTCACTCTGTACAGGAACATTTCCAAAATTCCACATGGATTAAGGATGAGTTAGATGTATAAAACGAATTTATACAGAGAGGCGGAAACATTGGAGAAGGACTCAAAATCCAGAAGCCTTAAAGCTAGATTTGATTACATATAAAAAAGTTAAATCCTCTGCATGGCAAAAACAAACCAAAAATTCAACCCCCCCCCCAAAAAAAATCCCCTATAATACAATAAATCCTAAGCAAATTTGAAAGATGAATGACCCAAAATGACAAATGACAAATTGGGAAACTAATATGTGCAGCACGTATTACAAAGGGATAGTCTCCCTAATATATAAACAGCTCCTCCAAATAAGAGAAAAAGTAGAGAAATGGGCAAAGGGTATGAACAGGCATTTCACAGGAAAGAGAATGTGAAAGACAATCATATGAAGAGAGATTCGATCTGTACCAGGAGGTAGGAGAGAATATTGAAATTCCTCAGTTTTTGCTATTTCAGTCTGGCAAACATGAATGCATTTGATGACGCTGCTCGTTAGTGAAATTTTGAAGAAGGAAGTGTTCTCCTGCAGTGGCCGTGAGACCCCATTCCGGGGGAGGTTCCTGGGCTGTGCCTATCTGAATTACAAATATAGATGCCCTTGGACCTAGTAATTTCACCTCTAGGGATCTCGCCTCCCAATATACGCACACAGCAGAGAAATGATAAATGCGAAAGGTTATTCTCCACATGTTGAAATAACACAAGGCGGGAAGAAACCTAAGTGTCCGTTAGTACGCCCACGCCCACACGATGCCCACGTCCACACAGATGGCTGGAATCCTTTGAAACTGTAAAACTGGATTAGTTTTCAATGAGGTGCACCTGGGTGGCTCAGGCCATTAAGTGTTGGACTCTTGATTTTGGTTCAGGTCATAATCCCAGGGCCGTGAGATCGAGCCCCAAGTCATGCTCCGTGCTGTGAGCGTGGAATCTACTTGAGACTTTCCTGTCTCTCTTTCTCAAAATAAATAAATAATCTGAGAACAAAAAGGAGTCCTCTATGAGTTGGTATGGAAATGTCACCAAGATACGCAAGCCAAGGTACAGGAGAATGTGTGTGATATGTTCACCATCTGTGTGAGAAAGGCATTAACATTCGTTGGAAGGATAAACAAACGTCTGAGAACAGTGAATATCTTTTTGGGGTAGGAAGTGGCCTTTTTCCTGTTTCAGTTTTCTTTATATACTTTTTTGGTGTTTACCGATTCAAAAAAAATTTTTTTTAATTTTTTTTTTTTGTTTTCTTTTCTAGGAGAGAGAGACAGCGTGAGCAGGGGAGGGTCAGAGAGAGGGAGTCACAGACTGAAACAGGCTCCAGGCTCTGAGCTGGCAGTCAGCACAGAGCCCGATGCGGGGCTTGAACCCACGAACCACGGGATCATGACCTAAGCGAAAGTCGGACGCTTAAACCGACTAAGCCACCCAGGCGCCCCTACCGATTCAGAAATTTTTAACTAAAATCAGTTGCCAGCAATTAAAACTTAGGATGGTCCACATTAAAGAACTGGATTTCCATCTTCTCTTCAAAAACTGGAATATCTGGGGCGCCTGGGTGGCTCAGTCGGTTAAAGCGTCCCACCGAGCCGGTTTCGGCTCAGGTCATGAGCTCTGGCTTTTGTGAGTTCGAGCCCTGCATCGGACTCCGTGCTGACAGTGCGGAGCCTGCTTGGCGTTCTGTCTCCCTCTCTCTGCCCCTCCCCCATTCTCACTGTCTCTCAAAATTTTAAAAAAAACAAACAAAAAAACAGAATCTCTGGCAATACTGGGCTCACGCTGTTGTGGGGAAACAATGAGCTAAAGCTGCATCGCTTTAGAGGGGCTCATGCTCTCCAGGTTTCTCTTGTATCCAAATTGTTTCACTAATTTATTTGATCTGCTGGCCTCTGCGGGCACTTGCATGTAAGAGCCTTAGAACCCGAGGCCCTCAGACCATGGAGAATTTATTAGGATGTGGGGTCTGTGAAGAAATGCAGCTGGGGAGAAGCAACAGCTGCGTGGCCATTGCAATTCAAGCAACTGGCAGGCCACCAAGCATCTCTGTGCCCCAGTTCCGAATTCCCTGGGATCAGAGGGTGTGCTCTTACTCTAGACGTGTGTGCTTTTCATGGCCCTCCTTATGGAAGTGACTGATACCAGGC